TATTAGAATATCTGGCTAATATTACGCTGTTGCCTTGCGAATTAAAACTCTTGGAGCTAAAAAAATTTGTAAATTATTTGAAAAGAATGGTGTAAGGATTGATAAGATTAAGTGTGTTAATTACAATGCAAATGAGATTTCAAAATTAATTAATGAACAAATTCAAAATGTTGTAGATCAAGTAACTTCAAAAACTATTTTCTCAAAAAACGATCAGAGTCACGTGCCTTTGAAAACCACCAATAATGATGCATCTTTAAAACTTAAGGTAAACGTTTCTACCACATCTCGTCTACCAATTCCTAGAACTACTTATGATTGATCCTATTTTCGCAACAAGACATTGGGTCAATATCCTATTTTATATAGAGAATTTAGTAGTGAAAATTTTGACTATTATGGTATTACTGACGAAACATCTTGTGATCCCAAAAGGACTTGCCCATTATGCAGTTTAGATCATGATTAAGAGAAAAGTATAGAAGGTAGATATAAGGCTGAATCCTATTTTATTAAGTGTGAACAATGCAAAATTGAAATAATTGCATAATCTCATTATTTTTTACACACATCAACTATTACCTAATTAGATTGATTTGCAATTATAGAAAAAGGCAACATGACTAAGACCAATAAAATATTAACTTCTGAATACCTGGATTAGCATATCAAATTAAGTGGGTTATTAAGCGTTTTGACAGATAAGATTCGGTTCAGCTTATACAAAAAATATAAAAAAGAAACTGGGTATGAAACATAACAACTATTAGAAATACATGAATCAGAAGTCATAAATTCGATGCCAGAAAACAAAGTATTTGATTTATCTTTTTCTAAACAATGTGAAGAAAAAGGACTTATCACTTTCGAAGCCAGATCTGATCCAAAATTAATTATCAAATCCGTCTTAGAGTATTTCACATACTTAAAATTCTGAAATAGTTTTAGGGGAATTGATAATTATAATTTTGCATTACCTCAGCCGTGAAGCTCACTATGTCCTATTTGCAATGAAAACATGTGAATTACGAATTATATGACGAATAGTATAAAAATGGAACAGAATTTTGTCTTACCTGCAACAATTCAAGTAATAAATTAAAGTTCGCAGTTATAGCATAAGCGTCATATAACGTGAATAACCAAAACCATGATTGATCAACCATTCTTAATCGTAAAGCCTTTTATGTAACAAGCAAAAAAATAATGTAATATATATAATATATCACATGTTAGAGTAAGTTATTTATATTGTATCTAAGTAATTGTCAATTTGTGACTCACTTTAATGTAGTGAAATGATCTGGATTATCTGCAGATAAAACTATTTATCCATCAGATAAAAAAATGATTCAGATGATTATTATATATCTGCAGAAAACCAAATAAACGATCTGCAGATTATATGCCAAATATTCACAGATGATCAATAGATCACATAGATAATAAAAATCCACAAAAATTCACATATCCGTGAATTTCTCTAAAAAAAATTTGACATTTCTACGCATTTATAATAAAAAACAAAATATTTTATTTCCCAATTTTATAATTCTCATTTTACTATAATTTTATTATAAGATATGATATTATTAGTTATTCAAAATTTACATACTAGAATTTTTCAGACTCTGAAAAATAATGGATGCTTTTAACAAATAATGAATTTTCTTTAAAAATATAAGCCTAATAAATAATTCAGGGTTTAAACGGGTTCTTTTAGCTGTTAATAAATTACTAGCATCACTAAATAATCTTTTATTTGGAGTTGAGATAGCTGGAATCAGAAGATAAATTCTAGCCAACTTTGAAAGAATTGGAAATTGTTCTTTGTTATCACGCCACCAAATAAAAGGGTTCAAATCAAAACCTAATTCAGGTAAAGATAAGTAAATGGTTACTTCATTTTCTTGTGTGAGATTTTGTTTAAAAATTGAAAATAGAGAGGATTCGCTAGATGGTGAAATGGTAGGCATTATTGATAAAGAATTAGCTTTAAGCTAATTGTATTTGCTTTTTGATAGATCTTTATTTTATTACAAATTTCTTCATCAACAAATCTAAGACACTTAATCTTAGGATCAAGTATTGCTAAAATAAGAACCCCTTCCTCTTCTTTGTTCCAATATAATTCCATTGCATTATACAAATCAAGCTTTATCTTTTCCAACATTTTATAGTTCTAAATAGTTGATTTAAGTTTAGCCTTCTTTCTGATATATTTTCTTCAGCCCATTCTCCTTCTTCTTTCTCTTCAAAAACATCAATAATTTCTTTCATCCTATTTACATCTTAAGGTATATCTTTTGGTTTCACACGTTTTTTAATTTCTTTCAATAATAGACTCATAATGCTATAAGTCACATATTTGCTAGTACCTAAGTAAGTTGTAACTTCAGCAAATCCTTTCAAAACTTCACATAATTTTGCTAATAACTCCTATTCATCTTTAGTTAGCATAATTTTAGATAGCCGTTAGCCATCTTTTTTTGAATCAACATCACTAGTAATTGGTAACGTAGTTACTAGGATATCAATATATAGTTTTATTTCTAGCAGTCTCTTCTAAGCTAAAAAGCTTGAATTCCAACATGTTTGAATATCTGCAATGCAATGGCATAGGTATGTGCTTGTTTTTTCAGGATTCTAAAAGAATTTAGATTAATATACTTTTATTATTGAAAAAATGATCATTTTTTTTGAAATATGTCATACCACTTGATTTTCAATATTTATTTGAATATTTTCTAGCCTTTCCAATTGCTTTGGTCTTATGAAGAAGTCAATTAATCATTTGACCCTTAATACAAGTAATTTTACGCATGCTAACCCTTTTTTTACAACAAGTTATAAAGTATAAGCGATACAAGGCTGCCAGGTAATGTTATGAGAAATTTCGCTCATATCCTTAATTGCTCGTTTCATATTGAAACCATTATCTGTGATAATTACATTAACCTTTTCTCTTAATATCTATAAATCTAATAATTCAAGCAAAGTATTGCTAATGTGATCTGCAGTATATGAATACTGAACGTAAATGACTATAAGAACAAGCTTGTATAGCTAAAAATTCTCATCTAAGAAGCAATATGTAACTCAAATGTAATCTTGTCGATTCTGGGTAAAGTTCTGAACGGTTCAGATTAATCTGAAGATTTTCAGATCAGTTCAGTTCGAATCGGTTTCAGATTGTATAAAAATTGATCCGAAAATTTTCAGTTCAGTTCAGATTTTTTTGGATTATAATTCTAATCTGAACTGAAAAAAATCTGAACTGAACTGATAATTTCAGATTAATCTAAAAGTTCAGTTCGATTATATGCGAAACTCTTGAAGGATCGCAAAATTTGCAAAAACTTTGGAGAATCGTAATTTTTTGCGATTTCTCTTAGAATTTTGCAAAATTATCACGAAACTCTTAGAGAGTCGCAAAAATTGCGATTTCTCTTCGAATTTCGCGAACCTCAAAGAGAAATTCACAATTTTTTGCGATTCTCCTAGAGTTTCGCATATAAATTGCAGATTTCTTATATAATCGAACTGTAATTTCAAATTAATCTGAAAATTTCAGTTCAGTTCAGATTTTTACCGGTCTGCGGTTCAGTTTAGATTCAGATTGGCATTTTTAAGATTAATAATCTGAACCAAACTGAACTGTTCAGAGCTTTAATTCTGGGCAGTCCAAAGATCAGTAGTTAAGTTGACTGAGATTGTATGATCTTTAATATATTGAACAATTAGGGGATACGTATAGTTATATGCATAATAAATAATTTGTTTTACCAATTTTACATCAGGTGCAATAAATCCTGAATCCAAATCATGTAAAAATTTCTTAAACATATCACTTTGAATAAGTTTAAGCAGCATTGAATCAGCAATAAACCAATCAACAAGTGATTAGTGAAGTTTCTCTTGTTTAGCTTCTTTATGTGGTCTTACATTGTTGGTGAGTGTGGTTTAAATCTATTTTTAAAATAATATTAATTAATATTTATTTTTAAACTATTATTATAGCAAAAAGATATTAACCATACTGATCTTCCTTTTATATCTGTATTTTCAGTAATTTGATGTGATCCAGCAAGATGCGCAATGAGATTACTTGTTGAGTTTTCACTTGAATAGACCTTTCCACAAGCTGTTCATCTGTTTTTTTAACTAAACATTCAGCACTAGCATTTCTATTATCAAGCAGTACAGGATCCCACCATTTCCACACCTAGCTTTATGCTTGTATGTTTTTTCAAGTGTTTTTACTTTTTTGGGAACGCGTTCTGATCTTTGTTTTTTTGAGCATTTATTAGATAGTGGAGCAGTTTGATTAGATCCTTCTCCTTCATTATCATAATTACTTAAAGGTGTAAGTGGGACAGTTTCTTCAGTCATCATTAATTTTAAAAGAAAAAATGTATGAAAAAGAATCGGGTGGGAATATAATTTTGAAATTTACACAAATAACACGATCATATGATCTATGATATAATGTTTGTATCTGAGTTTAGGTTTTAGATCGGTAAGGTATTTTCCAAAATAGGTTGGAAATTGTAGGACGATGATCCAATGTGTCTAATAAAAGTGAATGTATTGTATGGATGATTTATGTGCTTAAATATAAAAATTTTCAAAAAATTTTGTTCAACGTCGTTTATTTAAAAAAATTATAGCAAAGTACTTGAGTAGCTAAATAAAGAAATAATGAAAACAATCAAATTAAATATTAAAATAAGAATAATTTAGATTTTATATAAAATTAATTTGAAACAATTATATTTAATATATTATCTTATGGGTACTATAATAACTATATAGTGAATATTCACGGATTGATCTACAGATTTGTTATTTAATTCGTGAAATATCTGTGAATATTTGCAAATTATCTGCGGATAAATTTTACAAATCCGCAATACTTAAGAATGATCCAGATATCCGCATTATCCGGATATTTGCATTATTTACACAGATTATTATCCGCAGATCGTTTCTCTACTCTAATGGGTAACAATCTTTTCAAAAGTATCTGAATGTAGGTTAAAATAAGTAATTTCCGTCTTGCCACTTTTTTGTACTCATTTATATTTTTTCTAGTCCTAGTCCATATGAAGGATAATCTTAAAGAAAAATGGGCGAGAAAGTTGATAAGAGAATTCATAGAACCCTTCAGGTATTTTATTCTTTACACTATTTTGAAATTATAGGAATAGCCAATGAAAAATTTTTTATATAGATTGAGACAAATATATATTCCGTTTGGCGTCATAGGGAAGCTAGTAAAACCACTCTATTGTCGACCAATTCTAATTGTAACCATATGGGATGCAGTAGCCCTTCTTTGGACGATCTACATAATGAAGATGAATGCTTTCAAGAAAATGGAGTTTCAAGACTAGAAAAAGTATCTCTGCAGGATGCTAGTTATCTTGGCTGACAAAATTACGATGATGAGTACAAGAAAAGCATATTGCCCATCAGCAGTAAATGTAACGATTTCGGTGGAAAAGGAAAAAATAAAATTTATGTTTGGGAGTTCAATCTGCACGTCAGAAAAGAACAACCGGTTAATAGCATAGTCGAGGGCGAATTCTATACCAATACTACAGTGGTGCCATTCAAATGTTGCCCAAACAAGGAGAGAATCCAATTGTTGCTACCATACTTGGGAAAATTATGCCGAAACGATACCTTGACGGGCCATGCATGGACCAAAGAAGAACTAAAAACACTGTGTCATCTTGTGGTCCCAGACATTCAATGTATTAGAGAGAGAATTTCAAAGACCATGTCTCCTGTACCAGAGGGTGAGGAGCAGGATGAACATCGAGAAGTTAGCAATAATTCGAGAATCCGCTTATGATTGTTGAAATGATCGCAAATAAATCAGATCGTAAACGCATTGCAGAGTCTCTTAACTGTAAACTCAAAGGTGAAGAACCTTCTAGCTGTATTTGTTATATGGAAGATGTTAAAGAATATTATAATTTTGATCATATCATCATCATCAGGAAAATTCATGCTGGAATTATTTTTCTGGACTGCTACGGTCATGTGTTCGTATGGGAATCAATGAATTATATTTTGTGGTTGCTTGGGGATTATTGTAATGAGGCAACAAAGAATAGCCGTCCAGAATGGGGTTTAGATTTTGATGAGTCTATTGTTAAATTCAATGAAGTCGTGATGAATACGAATGGTATGTGAAGATTTTGTTCATTTTTTTATCTTAATTTTTATAATTAGCTTCTTTTTTCCCAGAATCACCAAACGAATATTGTATCTCTGTTGCACCTGTTATAAAGAAGAAGGATAGTTTGAAAAAAAAGAAGAGCTCAAAAAAAAAGTAACGATGATATGTGTACTTTCAGATTCAATTTTAATTTGTTTGCTATTAAGTGGGTTGTTTATACTAAATTTTCTTACTGATAATTACCATTTGGCTAGAGATAACTGATTACTAACACACAGCTTAGTTACTGTATATAATGCTACAATTTACTCAAAAAATAAATGAGCGTCAAATTTTATAACATAACTTTGTATACTCCTGTAAATGCTATGTGAACTGCTTATCGAATAAATAAACCGTATTGTAACACAATTCTCTGCCTGTTCTGACCATTTCATCATGATTTAATTTACACAGTCCAAATGCGTTTCGCCGGAAAGATATCACGAAAAAATCCTGAAGGAACTGCGCTGTTTCTTCTGCAGTTTTGACGAGCTCAGACAAGCTTGTCCAGACTCTACCATCAGAAAAATAATCTAGTCATATGCACAGCGCTTTCAGAGATAAATTTAACCTGAACTCATATGCGTGTTCATCAGAAATATAGATTTCGGGAGATAAATTTAACCGGATGCTGATCCAGCTTCTGCTCAATTTTGACGAGCTCGAACAAGCTTGTCCAGACTCTACCATCAGAAAAAATAATATTTTTTTTTATTCGTAATCATTTTCTCAAATTCCCGTTATACTTATCCAGCTAAAGAAAAAATCCAAAACCTGATCAGCCAATCATCTCGTGATTTGTAGAAACTCGCCAGCTTCTAGGAACTGGCAGGGAACTAGGGAGATCATATGTGATACAAATTTTAGCTGTGTATAGTTTAGCCGTCTATGGTGATCGGGTCTAATTTAGCCGAATAATGACATAACATCTGTAACAAATCGAATAAAAATGAATATGATATTTTATTATAATATACTTGCTATAAATCACTATAAGTCTTTAAAATAGCTATAAATCGATAAAATCAGTAAAATTGCTATAAATTGCTATTAACTACACCTGTAAATGACTAAATCTAACAACTATTCCAGTTTAAATCCTGTAGTAATACAGGCGTTAAATAATCTGTAATATAGGTATAGTGGTAAAACACCAGAAATGTGATGTTCTTGTATTTGTTATCCATTTAAGAAACTTCTTGAATATAATCCAAAATACTTCTCCAAGAATGGATTTATTCAAATAATTGAAAGATCATATGGGAGTGTTTCTAGGAAAATCAGGTTCCGAGAAATTTTTGACTAAAATTAAGAGCTTAATACATTTTAATCTAATAACACCAAAAACTAAAATGCAATAAAAATCTCAATTTCGCTAAAAAATTCTCAGAACCTGATTTTCCTAGCAATTAACCCATATAAAAATAGAGAATTAAAGCTGGGAGATACTTATTTCGTATTTATTGTACTATATGCGACTCCTTGGTAATTATTTGTGAAAATACTATTAAATGTGCAAATAAACATCTGAATGGATGCATTGCTAAAACAGCCAAAAAGCATCTTGCATATTCTAATCCTGTTCAGAAAAAAGGAGGAAGAATAGCATCAGAACTAAGTAAAGATGAAATTTATGAGATTTGTGGTAAATTTACTGATTTTCCTAGTTGGGGTTATAGAATTAGATGTGATGCAGACTATGAACTTTGGAAAAAGACTGCATATCGTATAATTAATAGTGCAAAAGTTATCTAACGAACTTGGAGAGCTTTCAAGTTGGGACCTGAAATATGGACGAAACGAGTCTAAAATATAGTGAGAAATGATGGTACTTCCGATAGAAAGAAATACTTAGGTATACTTTCAATTCATAAAAGAAAAATAAATCCTCAAACTCAAGAAGAATATGATTTGTATACTGATGAATATGTCAACTGCATTAAAAAAGCATATAATAAAAATATTGCTCAAAAATATATTAAAAAATATCTAGCTGAACAGGCTACAGGGTATAAGGAATATAATTATTATAATCCTAGTGATTGGATAGAAAGGAAGAAAAACCAGTTATATAATCGGCTAACTACTGTGACATATATAGTTACTTTTATAAAATCATATCAGCAAAGTTATAGATTCGTTGGTTATAGTGGTTGTACTATTATGCTAAAATATTTAGCAAATCCTGAACAATATAGTACTACTAAAGACAACATCAACATTTATATAAACTTTGTTAAAATTTCAGAATATACGCAATATAAATATAAAAAGGAAGGCAAACTATATCTATATAATTCACTAAAAATTAACATATTCAGATCTTTCTATATTATTAATACTATCAATGGAGACTTAACTATTATAGATTTCTCAGATATTAACAATAATGTTGAATATATGCAACGAGTTTTTTAAGTTATAAATTATTTATCAAAATAATACAGTATATCATGTATTCAGTATTTAGCATAATTATTATAATAATATAATAAATCAATTTATTTTTTTACTTCGCTTCACTACAAATGCATGTAGGAAAACATCATCTTATTCTATCTGTATGTGACATAAATAAAACGTGTTTCTGATTTTTGTTAAAGTATATATGATGTAATATATGATAGTCTACAAATCATCTGTGAAACTATACTTGTGCGACAAAATAATTTCACACATAAACCGATCCCTAGAGATAGGACTTAAAAATTATTTTTTAAGTTTTAGTACTTAATAATGTAACTTAATAAGGATCTTAAAAAAGATTTTCAAAAATTACACTTATTAAGTCGACCTAATATTGTATCACATATTGTGTAACAAAACTTTTGTTAAGGTTATCGGGTCTAACTAAATTAATAAAATTTCACTGCTTTTTTGTGTTCAAAATAAACGTAATATTCGTATTACATAATACTTTATAATGATATAAAAAAATTTTTTTTTACGATTTTTTTTAACGTTCTAAATATTAAATCATATAGGATTAATAGTTTTAAGCATTAGAACCATTTAACGACTCCAGCATTCATATAATTTTAATATATTTAAATAAATTTCAAATAAGCACTAAATGGAAATAATTTTCTTGTGGTATTTTGTCTGATTTTTCTAATTCAAACCTGTAAAAATCTCTTATATAGAGGTTTAAAGTCTTCTTTTTTTATAATTTTGGCCTTTATCCTTACCAAATTTTTTTACCTTTACTATCATTATTCTTCAAACTTCTTTTTTTTTAAAAAAAAAATGAGTAATAAACGAGGTCGACGTTCAAATAAAATTTGGAACCATTTTGAAGAAGGACCTAAAAGAAATACTTTGCATAAAGCAGCTATTTGTAATTATTGTGAAAAAAATATTCTTGGCATTTCAGAACAAATGATTAATCATCTTTGTGAATATGAAGATGCTGGTAATGATATTAAAGAAGCTTTTCAAGAAATTAAAAAAAATAATAAAGAAGCAAACAAAAAAAACAAACAGCAGTCATTATCTACTCCTTTAATTACTAATATACCTGTAATAACACCATTACGATTACAACAAATACAATCGGAAGCAAATTTAATTCAATTATCAATAGACAATTATGCAGATAAGCCATTTTTAACATATAGAAAAAAAGCAATTTACAAACAAATTGGTCGTGTAGTTGCTTCAGCTAATTTACCTTTTTCATTTGTTGATGATCCTGAAGTTAAGAAACTATTTGCTTTGTTTAATTCAT